AACCATGCAAGACCTGGTAGCCCACCAACATGTCCCCATCTTTGAGAGGAGAAAATCAAGTTGCTTCAGATCTGAACAAATCCACATGTGTTTGTCCATCCTTCCACTGGGAGAAGACAACTCAACACTATGAGTCTGAGAGAATGAGTAGCTGTCAAAGACACCCTTACTGAGAAAAGGAGATGAAAGAAGCTAATGGCGTTCTGAGACTGACCACCACAGAGTCCAGACCTAAATACAACTGAATACATTTTTGATTACTTGAACTGTGACAATCAGAGAATGCAACCAACTTCCAAGACTGAACTTTAGAGGTGTGGAATGTCAAGTGTTTAGTTGAGGCCTCTGTGTCAAATAATGTGTTTTGTATTTTTCTCCTTCACCCCTAAAAATTACTAACTTGTACTTAATGGACATTTTGACTGGAAATTCAATAAAATAAGTGGTCTCTGACTTTTGCACAGTACTGTATCTTTAAGTACTTGGTTCTGGAGCACCCTCCATGCTGGCTAGGTGTAGCTTTACTATGATATGTAATAGCGCATAGCACATAGTTCCTTGGATGTTGAAGGAAAGCACTAAACAGCTTTTCTGCTGCTTTGTGAATAAAGAGCTACTGTGCTGAGAAGACCACCCTTACCGCTGTGGCTTTGCAGACTCTGTGTGTGTGTGTGTGTTCCTGGCTCTCTGTCGAGTTCTCCTCCTGCTCCCAGATGTTGTGTGAGAGTGTGTTCCATATGGCAGGTATCTTGGAACACACACATACTCTCACCTGGGAGCAGAGGCTGAACTCGGACAGCCAAAAGGGAGCCTGATGCCTGGGTCTGTTCTGAGGAAGCAGAGAAGCAGCCAGCATTCATCAGGTCGTGGTTTATTCAAAGGCAAGACCCCTTTAACCAAATACTCACATAAATTAATAATGCAGGTCCAATATTTCTTTATTAATAGGAGACTGAGGAAGGTTACCTTTGGCTTGCTCTGGAAATACACGTGTATATGCATGTCTGTCTACATTTGTGAGTGCTTGATGGTCTTTGATAAACTCCTCACCCCCCACAGGGCGATCCACAACATTCAAGTAAATGACTAGCTCACAAGGCTGCTAGGAATGCTCCCAGTCCTCAAAGCGCTCTGCATGACCTTGGTAGCAATGACTGATGTCAAAGATCCTTCGTAGCATGTCTGTGTTCGTGTATCAGCTAGATAGTGATAGTGTTACTCGGCTCATCATCAGCCCCACTGTGCCATTCTGACTGTGTGAGTGCCTGTCCAACTTGAATGAATGCCATTGTCAGTCCATATAACTGGTTTCACTCTCAGGCTAAATGAAGGAGGTTAATCAAATTTGAGCTGTAAATCCCTGTCCCCATCCTGTGGCTAAGCTCTGATTGGGTGAAAGAAGTGATGGAGGAGGCCTGGAACTTTTTATTGCGTACAGCGGTGCTCAGGCAGTCTGATGAATGTTTCATAAAGTCCATTTTCTATTCTCACCTTTGACCAAAGCCCTTTACACACTGATGAGACGAGGCGGAAGAGAAAGTGATTCAGAAGATGACCTGAAGGAATCTGAGTGCATAAAAAAGATGGAACGCTAGATAAATTCTCTGAAGTGACTCAGGGAAGTCAGAGCGGAAAGAAGCGGACAACAAGTTCAAAGGGCTCAAGCTCTTACTTAAAAGCCAGTTAACAACAATAGCAGCAGTAGCAACAACAGCAGCAGCTACAATAAATGCATTTTCTATGATAAGCTTTCCTACACAGCAAACTCATTTCATCAAGAAACTTACAAACTCAGTTTAACTGGACCAACTTGACAGTAGAGCTGTCAGACAGGATCATAAATCAAGTTTTCCCCTCGTTCATTTGTCCAAATTCCACACATTATTTTGCAAAGAAAATAAGTAAGTATACTACATAATGTCTCATAAATCAAAAAGGGTGCACTCAGCATAAATGTTCAAAATTTTGTCAAAAAAGAAAACATTATCTGACTTATTTTTGACAATAACGTTTCCTTTACACCTCAAGCCAGTGATATCCAGCTGTCATTATAAGCTAAAGGGAGTGGCTGAACTTAAAGTATGACCACACTGACTGCAGTCAAAGTTCAAGCCTGTAACTGGTGGGAGTAGCTACATTAGCCACAGATGAAGCAGCTTCATTAACTACACTGTAAAGAAAACAAAAATAATAATAACAAAAAATTGAAAAAAATTAAATTTAAACAATTAATAATAAATTAAAAGGTAAAAAGCGGTGCCAGACAAAACCTGTTAATTAACAGTAAAAGTACGTTTATTCAATAATGGTAAAAAATCTGTAAAATTTTAGTTATTTAATTTCTTAGAAATACTGTCCATCAGTAGTTCAACAAGTTATCCTTATACAGTATTTTACCCGTACAACAGGAACAATCATTACAATAAACATAAATGTCTCTGAAAGAAAGGTGATAATTGGTTTTTGTGAATTTATATTGCATTTCTGTAAATAAGCAACAGTAAATGTTACAATACAGTATATGTATGGTTAAAAAATATTTTTTGACCATTAAAATTAGACAGCACTATGATATTTTTTTTAAACAGTGCTCCTTATTCATATCACACAATTATTAGCTTGCTATATTACAAACCGTCCACATTTGGAGCACTGCCTTGTCAGAAAACAGTGGCTGATCATTCAGTTACCGCACATGAGAACGTATTTTTGCCCATCAGTGTTATTCAGTTCACAAAGTAAGCATATCAGCTCATTCAGAATGACTGCTGCTAAAAAACAGATGCTTGCAAACCATAGAAAAGGTATGCAACATGACAATATCATTATGGTGATAAATTAGGTAACAATACATTATCAGTACTTGTAGAACACTGGCCAGCTGCTTGTGTCATTATAAAGAGAGCAAAATTAATTCCGTTTAACAACGCGGTATGCCAAATATTGAATAAAAATTGTATTTAGTTTTTGACAGTATCTTTTTAAAATGTAGCACTACCGGTTCTTTTTTTCTCAGTTCCAACTCAGAGACATGTATCTTAAATTTCTTGAAGCATCACAATAACCTCGCCACATCACCCACGTCTATCCCCATAGTATGTAAAACCACAGACAAACCCAAATAAGTCAAAATAAATTGATGTTTTGTCTGTTTATAATCAGCAATGCCAAGTTCTTCACATTGTTTGTGATGTTAGCAAATAACTGGCTTAAAACAAGGAGCCACAGCAGAGGCTGCAAACATACTAAATTTCTATTCTAAATTTGAATGACCAATTTTTAACCAGTGTATTTGATGAGCATTCTTTACATAGTTAACCTTACTTGACAATATAAAAAGCAGCAGTTATATAAAAAAACTCAAATACATGTCACTAGTGATGCACTGATTCAATACAACGGACTGATATCAGTACCAGTTGTAACCCTTTAAGACTGACACATTAATACATTACCATGGTATGTGTTAGGGGTGGGAATCTCTAGGCACCTCACGATTCGATTATGATTCAGAGGGCTGCAATGCGATTATAAAACAATTATCGATGAATCTTTTTTTCTATACAGAGAAAATATATGTCTATTTTCTCACTGTGTGAGGACCTGGCACTTTTAAAGCAAAGTATTTGTAATGATCCATAATGAATTTACTTCCAATAACTTTTATTAATAAAACAAATGGAAATGATGTGGCAAGTGAACTGGAAGGCTCTCATTCACTGCTCTTGTTTAAAGCACATGAGACGCAGGCTGCCACTCATCTGTGATAAAATGCAGTTACGGTGACATAAGACTCTGTGACCCACATGTTCGGTTTTGGCATTGTTGTAGAGAGTGGGGGGGGTCGCTGTGTCAGAAAAAAAATCTCTGAGACGAGACGCTGTATCTCGGCTACAAAGTGTGCAACATAGTGCGAAAGCCCTAGTTTTCAACGACTAAGAACAGACGCAAATCCTCGGCAATAAAAGTTGCGAGTAAAAAAAAAGTTGCAATAAAAGTCAGAGTTGGGTGGAAGCTCTGACATCGCTTGCTCGATGGTCCTCTGGCGTTCCGCCAACATTACGCTATAAATTAAATATTAAGAAAATCGTTTTTTGACATTTATGAATCGATTCAGAATCGTCCGCATCGCAATGCATCTAAGAACCGATTTTTCCCCCCACCCCTAGTATGTGTAAATCCTAAATACTGAAAACCTAAAACCTAAAAACTGATTCATGTTCAATACTGTTGCGTAATCATAGTTATATCACACTGAGTTGTGTGGACTTGCAAATAAACAAACTCAGTTAACACCTTCCGCTGAAACCACTTAATTTCTACAGATTCGTTTCTATCCAAATAATTATTTGCAAAAACCACAGTAATGCTTCAAAAAATGTATGTATGGAGACTGCTGAAATGTTGCTGCTGAAAAAAAACGTTTCTACTCAAATTAGCAGAAAATTGTTCATTAATTCCTGAAATGTTGCAAATCAATGCTCAATGAAAGCATTTTTCTTGACAAAAATTATGCAAATCATGCAAAAACAAATCTCCCCTCTGACAATTTGCACAGAAAGCAAATGGAAACATAGCTATTCTGCCCCACTATAGCAGTTGTATTACAGCTCAATTCGCTAGCAACATACAGGCTGTCATTCCCAGTGGTGGAAGGACAGCAACCCCAAAAAAAAAAAGTTTTCTTGAAAAGATACTCATGTTTTCAAAGTTTTCAACATTTCAGGCAAGTCAGATCAATAACAAAGCAGCCACAAAAGCTTATAATGGTCAGTCAAGGTTTGTAAAATGCAGCAGGATCCTGTTAAGATGTTTCAGGGGCACAAACAAACTCAAAAGACTCTAGCAGGGTGGAGACTTGGGCTGGCAGAGTGTGATATTGATTGGCGGCTTTGACAGAGTACCAATTTGCTGCTGGTCTGAGGGACATGACTAAGAGCTGCTGTAGGAAAATGAATCACAGACATTTGGCCAGAAAGAGACACAGCACAGATACTCACCAAACAGATTACTGGAGTGGCCTTGCTTGGAGACGGGCCTCAGCTCATTGGAACCCCAGGCATAGCGCTTGTAATTGTCCCAAGCAAACTGCATCATCTGAGGAGAAAGTCAGAGAGAAACAAGGTTGACTCGGATTTCTTTTAGCTTTCACTTTTAACCTGTGTGAGTCATCAGTTTTTTAGAAGTCAAATAAAAAAAATAAAAAAAAGATATAAAAGCTCATAAATATTTCTAAAAACGCTTAGAATAAGATATAAATGTGCTGCAAATTGGCAACTAATCACTGAGCGTATTTTTTAAATTAAGTTTCATTTATCAAATCATCACAGCAGGTTTTTTTTTTTTATTATTTTTTATTTTTTTAAAACAACTGCATATTGACTAGAAAAGAGCTGGCAAATTCTGCCAGGCCAAAATGTGCTCATATGAATGAGCACAATCGTTGAAGTGTCAGATAGGGAAAGACATGTGGGGATAGCACAACACGGCTCTGGCCCAACAGGATTCCACAATTGGTAGATGTGCTGTGAGGTGTAGTTAGTCAGCTTAAATGAGTCCCAAGGAGGAGCCTTACAAGAAAACTAACACTCTCTCTGTTTTGGGCTTCAGGTTCAAACAGCTATGTAATCCTCAAGGGCAATGTCTTTTGGTAAATTCTCCTCTACTAGAGGTTAAGGCCATTGCTAACAACAGCTCAAACTTATTGCAGTTATTAACTACTGCTCCAAGAAACTCTCCATTCCATTCTGTTATTCAGACATTTAATCCTGCTAAACATCAACAGAATTGTGGCTGAGAAGCCCTAAACAGAGATTAGTGGATAAAGTCTTCTGCTCCCAGCACCAGGGAAGCACTCCAGATGTTCAGATACACACAGTATTACACTCACTAAATGAAGACGCCAGTAGATTTCAAGGAAATCATTAGTAACTTAACCTCTTGAAACCGTAGGCTTATTATTCAGTAACTACTGTGCGAGTAACCTATGGAAAAGAGGGTTTCTGTTATTTGACCAGCAGTGTTTCACCGACACCACATCAGTACTGGCACTGATACTGGCAATTAAATATAGGTAATACAGTGAAGTAATTCCTGACATACATGCATGCCACCGAGTGACGCTTGCATGCGCACCAGTAGGTGGAGCTTAACTAAAGCAAGCAAGGTGGTGTGAGACAACTCCATTCCTGAGTTAAGCAGTAGTAAAATTGCTGTAATGCCAGCATTTTGAGAAGAAATACAAGGACTTCATCAGCAAGGACTTCATTCAAATTGAATTAAAGCTACACTAAGATTTGGAAACCTCTCTGATGGAAAAGTCTAATTGCATGCAACATGCAGAAGAACATTTTGTAACATGGGCAGTGCTTCAGACCTCTTTCCCGAAGGGGATGAATCTGACGATTGTGAGCGCACTGATAGAATACGCAAGAAGAGCTCAGTCAAAACTCAGAGAATGACGTGTCTTCTGAGGATGTGAGCGGCAAGTTATCTACTATTGTCATCATATCTTCATCAGTATAATGGTGATTTTGCATCTGAGACCTAAACATCGAGCCAGGCGTTCTTTTGAGCATGTGCGTGTGATGTTACTACACAAAGACGTATGATGTGGCCAGAGACTTTTAACTGATAAGACTAAAGCTTTATTTATTCTTATCCACCACACTGTTGTGGAGCATCTCAGGTTTGCTGTTGAGAAAGTTAAAGCTCAAGCTCATCTCAAGCTACCAAGAAACACTTAAAGACAGCAGCAGCCATAATACATAGAAAGTGTTAGCAGCCACATCACAAGCCAAGAAATGTTATTTTAGACTGTTTGAGAAAATATCATGGATAACTAGCTTGTAACAACTGCATGTTTTTGCACAACAACCATTATGACAGGAAGTTTATTCATTTGTCTGGGAAACTGAAGTGTTCCTGGACACTGTGACCAGTACCAAAATCACATGCTATGCAAGTAAATTATGAAGTTATGAAAGTGAGGGACTGTGGTGTGCGGCCACATATGGGTCCCAAGGGTTTCATCTCTTTAACCCTAGACTTTTTACACAGTTATTAATTTTAGAATTCAGTTATGGTTCTGTAAATACTTTAAATTATTCACTTCACATTTAACTTCTCTCAAACTAACGTATGTAGTGCATTTATGAGAGTTTAAAAAAATGAAGTGTGTGCTGACAAACCGTTAGAGCTTTAGGGGTTAATAGAAAACCCTGAGAAAATAAATTAGTAAATAAAGAAATGATGAGGTAGTCATTCAATACTCAAAGCAAACCTGGACTTTGGTACCATGACACCTACACTGACGACCAGAAGGCCAATCTATAAGAAAACATTTGTTTTTTCCAAAAACCGTTGGCAATGAACTCCTAATCCTGAGAATCTTTTATGTACCAAGTTTCACAAAGCAGAGGCAAAACGGGGAAAGAAAGCGAAAAGCGTGAATTAATGATGCGTGTCCTTGTACAGCGGGCAGGAATGAGCCAACATTCTTCCGTCCCCTCCCTTCGCGGTGGGAAGATGGGTGATTATGCATCAGGCAGAACATTCAGCAATACCCTGAACTTCAGTCCTACAGGAAAACAGAGAAGTTCTGACATTTCCAGACCAGAACCCTCCTTGTTCTCCAGGATCATGCGCTTATAAGCCAAAGCAAACTGACCTGCAGATCCGCCGGCAGCACTTAGGAGAAAAGCTCTTCACACATCTCACCATGAGGCCCCCCGCTGCTTCTGTCTACGTGAAGTCATTTGCAGCGCAGCATGGGCTTCAAAAAAAACCAGCCGACTGGCTCCACTGAAATTAGATCAGTTTATCGACTGCTAGCCTAACTCACAGTGCGGCCTAATCAAGGACCTGCCTCTGCTTTCAAGCGGCCCTCGCTCAACTCCAAACACACTCCTCCAAAGGAGAAAAAAAAAAAATAAGAGTGAAAAGGAACTTAAGAGCACAAAATGAGGTACAAAATTGAGCTCCTGAGAGAACACAAGCTCCAAGACACTCAGTTAGTCCTACTGAAGCTGGAGGTTTTCAAGTCTAGTCTCCTTATTACAGTAGTTGAAGTGAGAAAGCACAGAGGAGGGTTGCACAATATACCGTTTGTTAATCGGTATCATGATATCTGCCTTTTCAATACTAATGCTGATGGGCCGTTTAACTAGTCACAATGTTTTTACTGATGGTTTGAGTATTATAACAGATCACTGTTTCAGGTTAGGACTGGGCATTGTTACATTTTTTCAATACTCTGTAGCACTGAAGTAATTTGGTTAGTACCACAAAAGTGTTTAATTTCAATGCTGTTCCAGATCAGCGTTTCAGTAGGTGAGGACTCAATTCATATAACCCAACTAGAGCCATCACTATAGATTATACTAGTAATCAAGCAATCTACTGATTATTGTGATGATTTATCGAGTATTAAGGTTTTAAACCGGGTGAATCAATAAAAAAGCCTTTTAAAAAGACTTACCATAAGGGCAGCAGTAGGAGAATTTAAAGTCTGCATAATAATCAAGCAAACTGTCAACTAAGCATTGATTTACTACGAATGTAAATGTTTGACAATTTTTATTCAGTAACAACTGTGAAACTATGTTACGTACTCTTTTTGGCCAAAAACATGTGGACTGAGCTCAGGTTTCAGCCACATCTATTGCTATCAGGTCTAGAAAATCAAGCATTCAACCATGCAATCTCCACAGAGAGGAGTCTATGTCTATTAGTCAATTCAATCTGTGAAATTTCTGCCCTGCTAGATCTGCCCCAGTCAACTGTAAGTGCTTTTACTGTGAAATGGAATCTGGGTTTGGTGGATACCAAGGAAGCACTGCCTACCAGAAGGCATGGTGCCAACAGTGAAGTTTGGTGGAGGAGGGATGGATAATGGTCTGGGGCTGTTTTACATGTTAATGCTAGAGCAGACTAAGACATTTTAGACAACTACATGCTTCCAGCTTTATGGCAACAGTTTGGGGGGCCTGTCCTGCATGACTGTGAGCCTGGGCACAAAAAGGACATCCCTTTTCAAAAGGGACATCCAACAAGCTGACATAGGGCACAATGGTCAGGTGTCCATATACTTTTGGCATAGTGTAGTTAAGCATGTATTATGTATAAATGATTTGTCAACTTCTATTAAACTAATATGAAAGTTTGGTCGTTATGAGAGTGAGGAACTGAAGTGTGGGCCCACTTCAATCACAATCATAATGTTGCCCTCTGCCATACTGATATTACAAAAGACATAATATGCAATACAAACATCCAATTCCCAGTTTCTTACTGTGTGATGTGAGCATCCTGACCAATCGCACTTCCAGATAAGTGTTTTTGCCGTTGCTTTGATGAATCAAGGTATTCATGTAATCCAATAAAGGTAAATTAGCACAGTCAAAATAAAGCTGGCCAATCTTTGAACATTCTCCACTGCATTTTCAATGTACTGCGAGGCATTCATAGTACGCTACAATCATAATATCATAACGTGAGTATTTTCCCCATATTGTGTTGCCCTAGCACAGAGTTGGCTGATGGAAAGAGGAGAACACAGAACCACATCGATTCTTACTCAGCACCAGGATTCCAATACAAAGTGGCACAGCCTTCCCCTGCTCAGCATCTACACTGGAGGGCACGCAGCGCCCACGGCTCTGGACACAAAGCTGTCCGGCTGCTCACCGTGAACAACTGAACAAACCGACATCAAAGGCGGCTTTGAGGCAAAACCAAAGCTGCTCCTTCGCAAGGGCAGTAATTGCTTCTGCATAGAGAATATTAAAACCTGCCTATTTCAATCCGCAGAGGGTAATCTTATCACCGACGTGTCTGTCGCTGGTCTGAGTGGTTCTTGTCTTTCAGACAGCAGCAGGCACCGGTGACGTCAGACACAGACGAGGTCACAGCCCACGTGTGATTACCGTGATGACACAGACGCGTGGGTCAGCGCGGAACATTGCACAAAAGGTCTCGGACAACACTGCTGAACAAACACAAGCGGAGAAGAGTGAGAGTGCTGCGGCTGGGCAGCAGGATCAAAAATCTCAGTCAAATTTTTTTACCTGAGACTATCAGCAATTATTGTTCTTTAC